AAGGTGGAGCACTTAAAATAACCAATGTTAAGTCTCATCTCACAAGAGAAGATATCCAGGAAAAGACGACAGGCATCCATAAAACTGCTAGTGGTTTTAGTAGTGCAGTTTGGAAAAAAGACAACCGATATCAGCAGTGAAGGAAATAAGATTCAGTGTAACAGGGAATCTTTTAGTGAAAGAAAAGCAAGGAGCCTGTGTTCGTGCTGCGGCTTTTTAAATAGTCCAACTAAAAGGGGGCGGTTTATATACAGTAATACAGCACTCTGGCAGGTAGGAAGGGGGGAGAGGGTAGCAAGGAAAAGAACAACTATCCAAAAAGGATGTTTTTATAGTAAAATTGTGACTGGTGATTCAAGAGAAAGGGAGGCGGGGCGAGAAACAGAAAGGAACAATCTGAAAGGTAAGTAAAGTCCATAGCAGCAAATAGGTATCCTTACCTGTTAAATGAGTGTCAGGGAGACTGGGAGAGTGCTCAGTTCCTAAATACTGAATAAGGACAGTTCTCCTCTATATCTTAAAGTAAAAGCAAAAGTTCAAAGCTCTACATTGCATAGTAAGCAGTAAAAGAAACTTGATACTTGCAGACGGGCCACCTGCCCCTTGAAACCTGTTTTCTCCCTTCATCTACCATTCAGCTACCTGCAACAGCAGAACGTGGCATTTTTATTTTCTGTTTGCATGATTAACTTGTATCCCTGACTTGAATTTGAAAGACTTGGAAAATTTTTTCTGCGAACATAACGTATCCACGCCATCTAAACAGCGTCAACACTGGCAACGGTGGCTGAACTTGATGACTTAGCAGAGTTTGCCCCATCCCGTCTCGAGGTAGATGACCTCCTGCAGTTACCACCCAAATCACTGACATGGTCTAAGATGGTGGTAGCTGAAAAACACCACAAACCGTAGAATTTAAGGACCTGATTACCCTGGAAGGCCTCCGCCAGCACTGGCAGCCCAGCCTGGTTTAACCCCACCAGCACCTTCCGCTCCCAATGACAACAAAGCTGAAAGTTTTTGACTCAAAGCGCTCATGACACATGACAGAGTCCATCTGCAACGTGGGCCTAGAGCGGCGCGGGGTTTGTTCAGGGTTTGTTTCTCTGGGTTTTATTTGGAGAGCGAGGGGGTGTCCTCCCCCTTTCCCCCAAGAAATGCACTATTTTATAAACACATTCACTCGATCCAGATTCCATTTGTACAACATGGCAACTTTTGTTAAGCATTTCAATGTGCCCTTACTTCAAGAGTGTAAACACACATCAGCTTCTGGTCCCCCATCTTTTTGAAGCAAAAAACAATTAAAAGCTGCAAATACAAACAGCATAGGGATACTAAATCCCAAACACTGCATACGTATCTTTAATGTTGTTATTTTCAAGTGTTGTATAATTAAACAATGTGTTCATACAGCTGTCAGGCAAATCATGATCTCCAAGCTTTTATTACATGCCTAGAAACTATTCTGTAAAAGTGTTTTCTACTGCCAGATACTAAAGACAAAAAATACACTATCCACGTAAGACTAGTTTTTTTACATAATACATTCTAATTCTGATTGGCTGAACTGCAGCAGATGCCTCTGAAATTCTAGAATTGGCTATTTAAAAAAAAAACAAACCAAACAAACCCCACAACAACAACATAAAAAACAACGTTCCAGAGCAGAAGTATGCCGAAAATGAGAACTACTGCACCGGTATCACTCCAAGCAAATCCTCACTTCTAAGTATTCTTCTTTTGAGTTTCTTGCTGGTACATGACACCAAAACAATGAGACAGCTTTAAATCTAATGGAGGGTATCGCCTATTTAGCACCTTGGAGCAGGCTTCTGCCATTCTCGCTCTCGTGCCTTGCTGCGATGTGGTAACACGAGCTCCAGCACTGGTCGAAAGGCTCCTCTCCAGTAAGCGTTATCAGCACAGTGAACATGCACTCGCAGCCTCTTGAGCAGCACTGACTCAACTCGGCAAAGCAGTTTTCATTGGAAAGTTTACATGATTTTTAATATCAAACCGCACCTGCAGCGCTCTTCACGCCTCTGAAGCTGGAAGTTTTCAGTCATTAAACACTCCTCAGATAGAAGCACACATAAAAGGCTGCGTGTGTAAGATCACGTTCCTAAATTCGGCTTCCTACATGACTGGAGTCTGTTTAAAATCGTGCAGTTCAAATTTGGGAGTTAAGCTGTTTTTGCGTAATCAAGTGGATGCTGACGGCTCCCGTAACTCTGAAAAGACAATTGTCTTCTCCATTATCCAGTCCTGAACTAAGAGAGGCCTCCAACCCTGCACCAAAGCTAGCACTGCCATCCTGCTGCTCCTTAACCAGGCTGACGTAGTCACGTCCAGACCAGATGTCACGTATGCTACTCGGTTAAAAACAATCCCGCAGCTGCAAAGACATCACGAATGATGCACACAGTCCGTAGAAGTACTGCACTCCCAGCTACCTTGTCAAACACACCATACAGCACATGAAAAGGAGAGCGCGTACCAAAGGAACGCTTTTTCTCCAGCTGTTCAACAGGATGGTACTTGCCCATTCCAACACATGGGATATTCTGCCCATGGGAGCTCCTTCTTTCTTACCAGCCCATTACTCGACTCCAGACAGCAGCATTTAGGTGCTACAGCACTGACTGACTCTTCCACTGGCCAGCAGAATTGCCTGGGGAAATCCAAAGTTTGCCAGAGCGGGTATGTCCTATGAACAGTAGGACTGACAAAAGCATTGGGGTGAATACCGCGGTCATAGGTGACTTGCAAAAGGAAAGGAAATCGTGCTCGTGCTTCTCGTTTGCTTTTGCCTCTAATTTTCTTATGCCTTGTGCGCATTTTTCCAATCCCCAACTCCCTGAAGAAGTAACAGACGTCAAGTATCTCCCCTCTTTTCCTCCCACATGTGTGTAGGCGCACGGGAGAGTCAAGATCCTTACTGGCTGAGAAGGGATAAGAGCTTACTCCACCTTTTTTAAACTAGGAGTTTGTTAAAACATTTGAGGAAAAGCTCTCTTTGCATCGTCACCTTGACTCACTGTGGACTGTGGTAACTCCAATCCAATCCCAACACATGATGTTGAGTAAAACACAACATGAAAGTCCTTTCCTTTGACATCCACACATTAAGAGAACTTGGTAATTCTGTATGACATAGAAGCCGAAACATGAGGATAACTGAAAGTTTCACTCGTCCTTTGAGCAAATTATAATGGGCAATGACATTGATCTGCAAAGGAGCCAAACACATTCTACATTTTCTTGAACTGTAATGAAGCTTCAAAAGAAGCCAAGGACTGTCTTAATCACAAACGCTAAACTGCAGGTGTTGTGCAAGCAGCCTCTCTACCTAACACTAGTGTCGCCAAACCTAAATTCAGTATGAACACCACTGCATGACCATTCTTCACTACGCAACACTCCATGTTTCCATTTCTAAAGAAGCAGCAGTGAAACAAGTACACAATGCCAGTTTTGTAGCTCAATACTAGGTTTTCTCAATTGTTCTCAAGTCTGTTCGGGGGATGGGGGGGGAGAAAAAAAAAAAAAAAAAAGAAGAGACAGAAGAGGTAACAAAACATTCAATTGCTCCTCCAGGAAGCAGTTTAAGCAGATTAGGATATTTAACTCTATTGAAGAAAACATAGTTCTTAAAATAACCTTCAGACACTTTGGAAATACATCATTTTAACTCAGAAGTAGCGATTCTAGTCTCCCAAATGAGTGGATGTTTATTACTGTGCTTAGATGTTTATTAGCTGGCTATACTAATGGCCGCTTACGTATTTTGCAGGCTGCTGCACAGTATCTTCCACTTTACTCAGCATTTTCAGTCAAGCAAAGGCGCACAAAATGTAAGCTCAACTTTTCTGTCGCAAGCTAACCTTGGCTTCACCTGTAAATTTTAGAGGTTCGAGACTCGGCCTAGCGTACACCAGTCAGTTAAGGTCTTCGTGTTATTCAGGTCTAAAAATGGTGGTTTTGTGGAGTCACAGTCTAGCAAAGCCTGGCAACATTAACCACCTAGTGTACTGTATTTGGCAACTAGTGATACCATGGGATAGCACACTGCAGAACATAACACAGATTTCTTGGAATCCAAAATACAGCGGCTTTGACAAGATCCATAAATGGACAAGACAGCTAGTCATACGGGCTTCTGCAATGGGAAACCTGACCGATATGGTTGCAGTAGAAATTTCCAAGTCATTGTCTGTGGATCATCCCAAAGGTGAACTTCTCACAGGTAATTCTCTTTTCTGGTTTGAGAAAACACATTGCTAGAGAGGCAAAGACACTAACCCAGGTGGGGGAAGGCCACATTTTGATTAGGTTTTCTCAGAAACAGAAGATGCACTTACCGAATTACAAACCACTAAAAATTCACCAGTATGTTCCTATTACTTTTCCCAACTGCTGTAGTTCCTTCGAGATGGGCTGCAATTTTAAATGCAGAGAACACCATCATGGTAACATAAATCCAAAGTGGTCCATGACATTATACTCCCTCCAAGATACACTTCCTACCACAGAAAACACTGGCCACCAGAGCTCCTCCACAGAGCCAGGCTTTTTATTCGTAACTTACAAACATGATTTCACTAGTTATTTTTTCAAGCCAGATTTTCCTTAGTATTACCCCAGTGCATTTTTTTTTATATTGAGTATTTTCCCTAACTATATTTGTGCAAACTAACCATTCATTTGGCAAGTGCTAGGAAACTTAACAAAAATGACTGACCCAAGTTGACGCTTCCCTGTTAAAAAAATAAAAGCAACTAGGAAAAGCCCAAACCAATGGCAACAGACATGCAACTACTTGCTAAGCACAGGTTCTTTTTAATTTTGATACCACCTTCATCGTTTCGCTTTAGCTACTAGAACTTCACCATCACTTTTCTTCATAAGAAATACCTAGTTTTGAAAAATTCTATATTAATCTCTAAAAAAATATTTGTATTAAAAGCTGGAGATCATTGATTTCAGTAAGTTATGGCTTTTTTTAGTGTAAGCATATATATATTTTTCTAAAACAAGTATCAGTAAGTGTCCTGGGTGTTAGTTCATATTTTCTGTTTCCAGCAATGTTCAGTATTGTATGTGCTTTGCACCTCAGAAGTGAGTCTGCCAAGGCACTTAGAGAATGTAAGCAAGTCTTTTAGGGACTTCATGAGAACGGGCTACCACTGACACAATACAAGAACCCATGCACCAGCAGAGTCAATCCCCCAACCAAGCATGTTTCCTCTATAAACACTCAGCACCTGCTAAAATTCCACAATGAATAACAACAATCAAAAAAAAAAAAAAAAAAAAAAAAAAAGCACTATTTACCACGTGTCACTAACAGATAAAAGATTTCCCCTAATAAAAGCACAGAAAGTAGATCTTGGCTGTCATTACTAACAGCACAGGTTTTTGTTTTGTTTTTTAAAAAAACAAATGAACAAAAAAACAAATACCACACGCTTGCTTAAAGAAACAAGTGACTTCTAGAAATCCTCCTCCTTTTATCTGTCCTTAGAGGTGAGTTTTTCAATCAGTTCTTGAAGTGGTGCAAGTTCTCTTCTATCAATAAGGTTGAATTCCTGTAACAAGGATGGGGAGAAAGACATACATACAGAGTTTTTTATGTGCAGCTCAGGTGAGAAGTCTTACTTAGATAGAAGTTATTTGGTAGTAGGCTCTTCGAGTCCAGGCTTAGCCACTACAGCATTTTCCGCCTGGCTGCTGTGAGCTGAATAGCAGTGTTCAACTGCCTAAAGCTTTTTCCCCCACTTAAAGGAAGGAAGATGCTCTTTTGTTTTTTAAGGGGAGGGGGGGAATGTAGCTTTGAAGCAAGCACACGCTTTTCAGTCTAGCTTCAGATGCCGTCCTCCCTCATTCTTTTGTTGGGAATTAGTGTTCTACTGAATTATTTGGTAGGGAACACTTATCATTATTCAATTTTGTAGCAAACGAATACTTCATTGAAAACTTTGCCATTCTTTGAATGCTTCTAGCAATAAATATACATAAAAATGGAGTAAGACACTATCTTAGGGTCCTGGAGATGTTCACTCTCCTACAAACACACCAGCCGTGAATAAACTGAAGGGGCATTTGTTTGGTACATGACTTCTTCCAGACTATAATTGTAACCATAATGCTCCTGCCACACTTACCTGAACAAAAAATATAAAGTGCTTGAAGGAAGTGTTAAGGTGTGCCTCTTCCTGTAGCTGGATCACTGGATCAAAGTGCTGGTGATAAATGTGAGCATAAACTCTGAAGAGACGCTTCAAAATTGTCTTTGCCACTGACATGAAATTCTTTGGGAACGGTACACCTAGAAATAAGAAAACAGATGGCTTATTTTTAAACGCCCATGCCATGTTCATGCATTTTGAAAACCATTATAACCCAACCCTATCTCTTGCACAAGAAGGGCCGATCTGTTTCACTCAGCAATTCCATCTGTAAATCAGACAATGTACTTAGGCTGAAGCACGATGACAAGGTCATTTGTAAGACCGGAGGGGAGGCTTCCCTCCCTTCAGTAGACCAGTGACTCATGAACTTCTTCCAAAACACATCTGACTACATTTCTGTGCTGAGCCCTCCTAGCTTCAGCCTCCAGCTACTAAACATCGTTATGCCTCAGTACGGTTCCCTGAAAAGCCTTCTCTGGCCGAGAATCTTCCTCCCTTCTGGTAGGATTCAGATACCCAGAGCTATCTAATGCGCTTATCGATGCCCTCTCAGTACCTGCCTGGCCTCTGACTGCCAATGTAGAAAAGGGGAAGTCTCCTGCAGGCTCTGATTCTCACCGTGGTTCCGTGCACATGTCCAACATACCACAGGGTACTCCAAGGGACACCAGATACCTTTGTGTAGGTAACTGAAACCACCTTTGGTATCAACCATCGAGTTTTACACTTCTCTTGGCTAAAGTGAAATCAGAAATAGGCTCTCTCCACCTGTCTCGTGCCCAGCAAAGAGACTCCTGTTTCCATCCTGCTCACCATCGTCCCTCAGCCAGAGGTTACTGCTTTCTTAACTGCCTGCTTAAGTACTCTGAAACATGCTCCTTTCAGTCATTTCAGTGAAAATGACCCAGGACAGGTAAAATCAGTTTCAACAGCAGATCTTTGTCAGTGCCCAAGTTTTATTAAAATTGGGTAGGAAACAGCAACCGGCTACTGGGAGCAATAATCTCTTTAGCTGACACATCCGCAGACTAAGAAAAGATATGTATCAACCATCTGTAAAGATTAAACCTGCCTAGCTTCTCATCACGCACCAGTTTTCCCAGTCAGCTTTTGCAGTCTTACCAATTGCTGAAGTCCTGTCTGAAGGCCAGAGCCCCAAGCTGGATGCTGTAGGCCAATCACGATCTCGCCAATGCTTTAAAACCCTAGCAATAAAATTTTCATACTCCTACTTAAGCTTGCCCTGCTTACATGTACATCACATTTCCTTCATTGACTGCTGCATCGCATGGGAAGTTCATCACATCTACTGAGCAGGGAAGATTCTGCTTTTTGTCGCTTCTTCCCGAACTAACCAGCCTTCTCTGCATATCTGCCTAACTGTAAGCAAAAACTAATGCCACTTGATTCTGACAGGTGGCCCTGTTTCTCTGAAGAGGCTTATTGAAAATGTGTCAAACGCTTCAGAAACTATTCACAAAATAAAAGCAATTAGGAGATCTCCCTTCGTTTTTCCGCAATGGATCACAAGCCTATGAGTAGCGGTGTACTGGAAAAGTGACAACTAGGAGCTTTAGAACAAATAGTCCTTCGTGTCTCTAGAAGCAGGGTTTTCTTCTCGTTATCGTTTCCGAACTGGTGGCTGTTCATTATTTTTCTCCTGCTTTTCTGCAAGAAACCTCTTAAAACCATGTATCTTTCATCTTCACTTGAAAAGAAAAAAAATCATTAACTTAAGATCAAAGATGCAATTCAGCTTCTTTGGAGGTAAGGCCTAGGAGAAGTTCCTCGCGAGGACCAAACATCTTTCCTGCATCAAAAAGCTACCAGTTTGTACCAATTGCTGGTTATAACATTTTGAGACCCTCTGCCTTATTTCTCAGGAAACAACCCACTGTTCAAAATGAAAAAACATCAGATTTGATCAACACAATCAGTTATTAAATAGAAACAGAACTTCCTGCATTCAGAATTGTGATAGATGTTTATTAAGAGTATTAACACATGGATCAGAGTTCATGTACTACCACATCAATTTTATCTTAGAAGTGCCTTTATATGTATTATGTAACCTTTTAAAGTTGCCCTATTTTTCAGTCATTTAGGAGACCTTTTAATGCTATAAGACTTGAATATTCCTGTACAACTATAATTCAAATACATTGTTCAATTTTACTTAATTACTTTACCTATTTTAGAAGGAAATAGCGTTTCATCATCCAGCTGATCCTGGACCCAAGTCATCAGGTAATCAATGTACTTTGGTGCAGAGCACTTAATTGGTTTCTTTATGTTTGTCCCATCTGCCCAGTGGTACTCATATCTGGGTTGGGACGACAACAACAAGACATTTCTTAACACAAGTGAATCATTCATATCAAGGCCTGGAAGGTTGCTCTTCCTGCTCCACTCCCCGTAATCCCACACTCTCCCAGAGCCCTTCCCTGAAACTAAGGCCCAAATGCTCCCCGGTCATCTGCAGCTGCTCTGGACTCTCTTCTGCAGTCTGTGAAGGCCTTCAAAAATGTCATCCTTTATAGCAGAACTCATTCATCCTCGGTTGCAACGTTCCTACCAAAATGCACATGGCAGGCTGCAGTCAAACCTGCATCCCTGTACATCAAAAGGTGCTGTACGAGTAGGTTTCCAAATCCTGAAAGGCCAATAGCTACTTATTCTTTTTTAAAGCTTTCATTTTTTTCCACCCCTCCAAAAGAAAAACATTACAGCCTGTTGAAGTGAAACATCAAAAAGTTACACGAGATTCTCACACAAATAAAAGCTAAGCTCCGGGGCTCAAATCGATGAAGGCACCTGACTGATTTCTAAAGTGAAATTTCACCCCATCAGCCCTAGCAACGGGCTTCTCTTCACCTCCACTGCCAGAGAAGAACTGCAAAGCTAGTGGCAATGCTCAACACCTGCAGCAGCAGCCAGACAGACACATCAGGCCCCTAAAATCTATGGAATTGCTTTACATTTTAAAATATTCTTAGAGATTTGGCATAACTGAAGACCAAACTACATTGCCTCTTGCCAGAGGTCCCAAATTATGATTGTATGAGAGACACGGAATAGATTCAGAAGTAGGTTAATGCCAAGGAATACTATTATAAAACTGGAAGCTGGTATAAAGTGCCTTTAAGCTAAGTTAGAAGAAAGCTTCTAGACTAAACAGTCCTCCTCAGAAAAGGTTCACATCTGAAGGGCTAGTGCTACCATGCAGTGCTGGAAGATTCAGAAAAATCTCGGTTTCCAGTTATACTACTGACCCACTCGATAGTTGCAGGCCAGTAACTGCCTTTTAGCTTAATTCTTCCATCTGTAGATAAGGTGATATCACACCTTTACAAACCACTGACATGACTACGGAACAGTAAAACATGCGCTCTTTTTATCCTTTTGCATTCACAGAGCTAGTATGTTGACATCTTTTATGTAGCACATTTAATAAGTGGATTCCAGCATCATTCATTTTACAGTTACCATTTTAGCTTCAGGAAATTTAAAAAGCCATGGAAAAATGTATCAAATAGCATCCTTTTACACACACAACCAGATGGAAACAAGTCCTCATGAAATTAGAATGGAACAGATACTGTCACTGGCTTGGGGAATGCAGTTCGCACAAGTCCAGACACAGGAGAAGGTGGCTAGTCTTGGGAACATAGAGCTTAAAAAAAAGAAACACATTTAACATTGGGAGTCTGACAATACCAGCTTTCAAGTGAACGACAGTGTTTCCTTCTGTGTCTTGCTGAGTACAAATGCATGTATCTTAGTATTCCTTGCCAATCCGTAACATCTGAGCAGTTTCTTCTCATCAGCACCGAGCCGTGCATAGCCCTCTCTCTTATATCTGAACACAGCATTATCTCCCACGTCGATTTTAAATAGGCCAGCCTCGCTCAGCCACCCAGCATTGCTGGAGAACAGCTATCCGCGAGGCGAGCCTGCTGCCAAGCCGGAAGCGAAAAGGACTGCTGAGCTCTGCAGCTCTGAAATCCTCCCAGAGAAACAAATGAACAACGATTAAGACTAGCTGCAACACTCCTCTTTTAAAATTATAAAATTTAAAAAAAACAAACTAACAAAACCAAACATATAAGGATAGCGATGTCAGCTCGGTCATGCTTGTACAGGAAACACACTCGCTTCATCTACAAGTTTTATCTCAGCTCTTTTTAAAAGAATTAGAAGAGATGTTATTAATGGTTAATACTTTTCATGGAGGATAGCACGCTCAATTTTATTGTTATTTCTTAGCACAGTAGTAGCACACCACAATGTTCGGGCTGCAACCACCGTTTAAACTTTCCCTTGCTATCTCCAATTAGTATTGTGCGGACACTGGAGAAGGTCTTCTATTTTAAAGATCATACACATCGTTTTATGCAAAGCTTAACTGTGTCTGGTAAGTCTGGCTTCTAATTTTGTTTAACAAATTCAGTTTTGTCAGAACAGTAACCGGGAGAACGCTTTCACAATAAACAAATTTTACAAGTGATTACGAGCGAGCTGCTCACAATGGTATAAAAAGATCCCATTTTTATTATGGCAACAAATCAGAGGGTCTGAAAGCATTTTAAAATTTTAACTCAAAACACATGCAAAAATTCCATACACGCTGAATGGACCACAATGCGTGTGGATTTCTGAAAAAATCGGAATTCCTCACCACCCAGTATTTACCCTAATACTGAGATTTAAGTGGTATTAACATAGGACAAATATCAACACTTAGCTGAGGTGCCAGGTTCAGTGCGGAGACAGAGTAAGACAACAAACTAAATTACATGCTAAAAATCTCATCCAAATAACATATACCCTTAAGAAGCCTCCCTCCCCACTCCCCAACACTATGGGTGAATTCTGCATTTATTGGAGGAAGGAATGCCAGAGAACAACTCTTGAAGTCTTTAAAAAACAGCAGATACATCCTGACAAAAAATAAAGGCATATAGAGAATCTGAAATTATTCTGGCAAACACCCCATGCTCCACACAGTGGACGTAATGTTCACAGTTGCTCCTAGGCTGTCAAAGGGCTTGGGGTTTACAGGAGAAGGGAAAATGAACTCTTCCTACCAGATTAAATACATCACCGAAAACAAATCAAGAATCCTAGCCCAACTTCTTAAACAAAAAAAGGAAATCAAACACACACAAAAAATTCCCACATATTAGAATCATTTGAACTGCTACAGGAAATTAAGGGTAAAATCACATTTCTAGCTCAAGCTTTTGAGCAGTCACGTACAGCTCTGGTGACAGAAACAAATTTACCTTAACGTGATAGACAGTTCCGCTATAGAAAATACATTTTTAGAAACCTCTATGGTTTAATAGAGGTTTTCAAGGGCAAAACAATATGTGAAGGATAGAGCAAGAAATATACAGTTCACTTCAGCAAGTGCAGGGGAAAAAGCCAAGAATCCCTAATGACTCTGGTAGAATTCTCTCATACTAATAAACACAAGTCATTTGCCATCTATCAGCAGAAAACCCAACCATGCTTCTCACATTAGAAAAAATCCCTAAGTATAAACAATCGTAGGGCCAGCTCCTCTACTGCACAATTACATGTACATGGCCTAAAAAAAAAAACAAAACACCACACCAAAAAAAACCCCAACAAAACAAACCCCAGCTTGACTAAAATTAAAGCTGTTACCTCATCCAATAGCAATAAAATGCAGTGGCTCAGTAATGCCTTTTAAAAGATTCTTGGACACTTATTTGGACCTATCATCTCTAAATCTCAGCAAAACTGTATTACATGAAGATTGCTGAAAAATACTTTTTCTGTTTTATCCCTCAGTCATCAAGTGACACAGGTGCAAAGTGGAGCATCACAAAAAGGAAAAAAGATTGATATCTCTAAGAGACACAGGTTATTTCAAGGACCTGATCACATGATTTATTAATTTTGTTGCTGCAGACACACTGGGCAGAAGGCAGCAAGCGAACACTCAATTACACCGTATTACGCTCACGTAGGATTTATGGGAGCTGTCCACTTTGGAGTGCCCAGCTATTCCGATTTGAACATACAAAGACAGAAGCACTGCAGACCAACAAACCTCCGGAAAATCAGGAGGATCTCACTGCCATTAAGAGTGAGCTCAGTGCACTCACACAAGTGCCTAAATACGGATTTTGGAGCGCCAGTTCAGACACCCAGCTTTGAAAAATGCAGCAGCCACGTCCCTCCTTTGTGCTCTTATTGAAGGCTTACAACCAGGGAGGAAAATAAAGAAAATTCCCCTCACCCAGTGGTGGTTAATAAACATATTATTTCTATGCAGGTTCTTAACTTATTATCATGCCTGTTGCACTGATGGTGATACTGCAACTGATATAAGAATAGCAAGAAGTGATAACCAACTAGGGTTAGTTTGTGTAAGAAATGGTTGGTCTTTGCTGAAGTGAAAAGAATGGAACATTACCTTGAGTAATCATATGTTTTGGAACAAATTCAACAAATACTTTTTTCCAATTGTTAGACAGTGAGCTATACAGCAGGAGAGGGAGATCTGTTCTTGATCTTTACGTCAATCCTTAACTAACTCAATGTACTAACACCCCGATAAAAGCTAAGTCAGCAATCCTTCCAACAAAGACAAGTCCAGAAGAAATGAAACTGATCCCACAGCGCACAAAAATTTACCGATTTATCTGCCTCAGCGAAACCCCTTCTGTTAAGATTGCTACCAAAAAGAACCAGTGGGCCAAGAAGGAGCTATACAGCCTCAAGCATTTGCTTAAAGGTAGCCCTTTAGAGAAGATAACCTGCCCTGTATCAAAAATAAAACACAAGAAACCAGACATGAACCTAGGTGACCTGTCTGTTGCCAAGGGTCTTTTTTTTCTTCTTTTAAAGGGGTTTTAAAGACAAAACACCAATACCAGGCAGCGGATACAGGAAACATCACACATCTGCTCTCATTACCCTCTCACTTAAGACATCTGGTTTAATTTTTCCATAGACTGCTACAAGTTTGTCAGTTGTGCTATGAAAACTCTGACTGAGCCACAAGGAGTTCTAAACAGCTTCCTATGTATGCACCAGCACCTTACAACCCTTTTTCAATATATATCTACCATAAACACTTTTCTAGTGGCAACGCAAAAATCAGACTTTAGATCCATAGAGCGCTTGCTGCTTGCTGGTTCTCTCCAGCTACTCATGCTACGACTGCCTAACCTGTTTCAAACGACCTTATGTAAGTTGTTTCAGCTAACTCGCACTCTCTTGTCTGAAATAGATGAGGATGCAACACTGGTGACAGCTCAGCCGTGGATGGGAGCAGACAGCAACCTTCAGCCTAGAAGCACTAACGAGCACCTAAGACTCAATCTCTCTTCAACTAATATAGCTTGAGCTAGAAGAGAACAGGAAACAGATAAGTAACAGGGAAAAAAAAAAAAAATCTGTAATTATCAGTCCTTTCACGCTGACAGGTTTTCCAGCAGTATTTCCCTGAAAAAAATTTTGCAGGCCACTTTTTAAGTGAAAGCAAGCCACACTCGCTCAAACTAAAAATGACTGCCGGTCACCGCCAGCCTCACAAATCACCCGTTCCCGTGCCTGCCTGGCCTTGGCCCCTCACGTGCAGGCAAGCTTCTGATCCTTTCACAAAACCCATCCCTGAGCACAGGTGGGGGCTGCAGAGTTTGGGGAATGCTCTACGCATCCTGGGTACAATTTGAGTACGACATATATTTCTGTCAATGGTTATCGGTCTCTTTGGAGAGGAAATAAATTGTTTAGTCTGGCAACCAGACAGCTAAACCTTTAATAATTAACCTCTATCCCCAAATAACTGCTTCTCAGCAAACAAACAATAAAGCAAAGAAATATTTTCATGCTCTTGTTTTTATTAAATAAGAGGCTGTTCTGCATGCCAAAGCACAAAGCAGACAATGGACTATGTTAATGCACAAGCTTATCCCAAAGTTCTTTGGTGTAACGGTAAACTTCTATGCCCTTTGTATTTTCACCCCTCCCCGCTCTGCAGCAGGTGGTCTGCCTGCCCACACTGATTCTGCCATTCAGCAGCGTCCATTTTTAGTTTAAGAACGTAGCGCCAAAGCTCTTCTTGGTCCGTCTGGCTGCTTTTGCCTTGCACAGCTCCTGCCCTCTCTGCCTTGCCCTCCCAGCAGCACCCTTTTGCACCTCCACCACGCTGGCTGGCAATTACTGGCTTCAGACAGTAACAACAAATGTCATTATAAAGGACGAGGAAGTGGAGGAGAGGATTGGTTTTCTTTTTTGTTTATTTAAGATTTTACAGTAATTTAAAAGGAAGCAGTGCCCTCCTTTGCAACTCGCTTAGAAATGCGGGTATTTTCCTCTTTGGAAGACACTAAGCAGCTGGAGAGCAAGAAAAAACACAAACGTTGGATGTCTGTACAAAAGCATAAGCAAGAATCAAAGAAGTGAAACTTAACTGAGGGACAGGGTAGGGGATTCTTATCCAGACTGCTAAAAACTGTAGCCAAGCTTATTTCTACAATACCTATTTAAATGCCTAAACGAAAGATTTTGGTAAGCCCTAATTGAACACTTGCATATAAAAACATCAAATCTTAAATTTAAGAAGCCCTCGTTAACATTTCACAAAAAGAAGGAAAAAATAGTTTTGATAATCAGTTCACTTCCCAGGCTAAAGAAAAAAAAAGAACCCAACCAAAACCCAACCAAACAAACAAAAAACCACTCGGAAAAACCCACCTTTCCATTCCCTACTCCCTTAATAAAAGTTAATTTTTTTTTTCCTCCACAGGTATCAAGAGAAGACATCCTTTCCACCCACAGACGTTACCTTATTTTTGGCACTCAACTGAGCTAGTCTGAAGTTTTCAAATGTAAAACCATCTCAAAAATTGCACACTCTCAACAATGTGTAAAAAATAATCTTACTTTGGGCCAGCAGACATCACGGGGCAGCTCTCCTCTGTGCAGAAGTCCGTAATAGTTCCATAAAGCATATTGATCTGGTTGAAGAAGTCGACAGCTGTAAAGCATTTAAACCATCAATAAACACTCCACTGTGTAACCGCAACACAAGCTTTCTACAGCCTTAACTGTAAAGCACACACTGCTGAAGACGGTCCTGGAATACTTTTTGTAAAACAATTTCATTGTTATTGTTTTTTAAGATGTATTATAAAGAAGATGCAGAATGCAACCACCAATTTTCTAGAACAGCCTCTGGCAGTACTTATTTAATTGTTCACTGCAGCAAAATCTTCATTTGAAAGAAGAAAAGGGA